TAATTGTCCTGTACTGATGGACACTTGAAATAGTTTCCGTCATCCCTGTTATAAACAGCACTGAAATGGACATCTCCATGTGCACGTCTTCTGTCCTCTCTGCGGTTGTCTCTTAGATGTAAACTCTTTGGAATATGATTGCTGGGCCACAACTTATGTACATTTTAACTTTTGATGCCAGTTGGGAAATTCCCTCTAGAAATTGTTGCCAACTTAACAAGGGGAAAAAAAAAACAAACCCTAAACCAAGAAGTCTCTTTGTGCTTCTGTCTGGTCAGACTTCTTGACCTTGAGTCAGATTTCTCCCCAGCTGAGCAACTGGCTTGCACAGGTCACTTAACTCACAGCCTTTTGGGGCCTTGGTTTCTCAGCTTTGAGATGAGGGTGGTCAATGGTGTGAGCTTCCGGACCTCTCCCTCTCTGAGCCTGAGCAGCGAGCAGCCTCTGTTGCCTCAGAAGCTCAGTACTGAGCCGTCCACCCCCAACTGCAGCTTGGTCTCCAACAGCACTGATTAGTGAAGAAAATTGCTGGCCCAGTGCAATCCTCACCCTCATCGGCAGAGGCCTTCATGGGGCCCAGGGCATCACTGGTCAGCAAACTAATTACCCAGTGGACCCTCCCCCAAGGACAAGCCTGTCTCAGGCCACAGCCCTCTCCTGAAGCCAGACTCATGCTCAGATGATGCTGTTTGTAATTTGAGGGGCCCCGTGCTTACCAGTAGCTTCATCATAGCCACCCGATGGGACTCTGGGTAAACTGTCTGAAGGAATTAAATTTATACCGGCACCTCCCTTCAGAAGACCTCGATGGGTCTGGCAGACCCCATGAGTTGTCTCCAAGCCCCATAACAGCCGGTGAGGCAGGTGTCACAGAGGAGGATTGTGACGGTCAGGGAGATCCCTCAGCTGGACCGCGGTGCTCTCCGCTCACATTTGCTCCAAGAAAGGAGCCAAGGGGAGCCAAGAGCTGAGTTTCCTGGGTTTTATTTTAAGGAACTCTCATAAAGGCAGCAACACTTACTAACCTTCCTGCCCTCCCGTCCCACCTTAGAGCTCAGCCCACTCACCTTCCCTGTCTGTAGGTGAAGATCCTGCCCCTTTAGTCTCAGGGCTGATGGGGACGGGTCTGGAGAGGGATGCACGGAGCTCGTTGTACCTCGGCCGGCCTCTCTGATGGGGCGTCGATGGAAGCATCCCTCAGCCACTCCAAGTGCCCAAGGACTTGAGGGCACTGTGCTTGTGGGGTCATCAAAAGATGGCTTACTTTCCTTTTATTTGTTTATTTTGGTCATGCCGTGCAACTTGCAGGGACTTAGTTCCCTGACCAGGGATTGAATCTGGACCACCGCAATGAAAGCACCAAGTCCTAACCACTGGACCAGCAAGGAGTTCTTTTTTTGATTTGGTTTCCATTTAGAACTTTGAAAAACTGGAGCTGTTCACAGCAGGTTTGCACTTGGGGGTCCCCAGCCTGAGCTCTTTGCAGACTTTGTGTTGTTCCATTGCTGAGTCATGTCTGACTCTGCGATCCCGTAGACTGCAGCTCGCCAGGATCCCCTGTCCTTCACGTCTCCCAGAGTTTGCTCAGATTCATGTCCATTGAGTTGGATGGTTGCCATCTGATCACCTCATCCTGTGTCGCCCCCTTCTCCTCCTGCCCTCAGTCCTTCCGATCATCAAGGTCTTTTCCAACGAGTCAGCTCTTCACATCAGGTGGCCAAAGTATTGGAGCTTCAACTTCAGCATCAGTCCTTCTAGTGAATATTCAGGGTTGATTTCCTTTAGGATTGACTGGTTTGATCACCTTGCTGTCCAAGGGACTCTCAAGAGTTGTCTCCAGCACCACAGTTTGACAGCATCAATTCTTAGGCACTCAGCAGACTTCACAGGAGGTAGAGTGCTATCTCCTAACCACCTCCTTGGAGCCTGGACCCCAGATGGGGACTCCACTGGCTGATCCCACGGAATGGGCCATCCTTGTGCAAACGTGGTGAAGCGCACGTTCCTGGGTGTTCTAGCTCAGGATCCTGAGATCAGCCTTTGTGTGTTCTTTCAGCAAATGTGCATTGAAGGCCTGTGGCCAGTCCTTCCCCAGATGGCCTGGGCGTGGGCAGATCCACTTCCTTCCAGATGACCCGGCAGGAACTCCCCAGCCGCGCTTCCCAGAGTCCCTCTGTTCCAGCCACACTGACCTTTTTTCCACCCCTTGAACGTGCCGAGGTTGTTCCAGCCTCAGGGCCTTTGCCCTTGCCATCAGCTCCACCCCGAACATCCTCCCCAGATCTCCGTGAGGAGATCTGAACTCATGGTCCAGATCTCAGCCAGTTGTGACCTCAGAGACCATCCTGGATCCAGTCAAACCAGCATCATCCCACCACTTGGTTTGCTTTCTTCCTAGTATTTGTGACTCTCTGAAATGGTTATTTATTTATCTGTGCATTGTCTGTCTCGCCGGCTGGAATGTGGACTCCAGGAGGGCAGGGCCCTGGGCTGCTTCTTTGCTGTGGATGGCGGTGTCAGAGCCTGGGCCCGGGCACAGCTCGAATGCTACATTACACTCCACCGGACAGACACTGGGAAAGGCTTATTTCTGGATGGGTTTCAATTTCTGTGAGAATCTCTGTAAATATTTAGGGGTAGGCCTGGACTGGAAGGCTGTATAGCAGATTCGTGACCCTCATTGTCTTTAAGCTGTATTTATTTCTCCTGATAACCTGAGGTTTCTGAATCAGAGAAAAGTTCTGTTCCTTATTCACACAGTGGTCTTAGTGGTGGTTCGCCGCTCCCTGACTTGTCACAGGGGTCACTGGTGGGAGCCAGTGTGCAGTGTGTGCGTAGAGAGTGCAGTGCGGAGCCGGGGGAGGGGACCCCCGAAGCCGTGACAGCTGCCCCTCTGCCCTCCCCCCCCTGCCCTGAATAAACACAGCTCCTGGGGAGTGAGGGATCAAGCAGTAGGTTTCCTACCCCTGGGATAAGAACAGAGGACTCAGGACGGGGTTCCCTAAATCTCTCCATCTTTACCTGCCCAGGCTTGCTTGAAGTCAGCCATCCTGTATCCCAGAGGCGAGCTTAGAACACCTTGGCCCCAGGGGGAACACGCGAGGGTTCACAGAACATTGTCCCCTGACCTACATCTCCCGAACCGAAGGGCACAAGTGCCTCTGAGTGCCTCGCACGCGCCTGGGACACCGTGCGGTGTTGATCCCCTGGGGCCGGAGCCCGGCATCCTCTCGGTGGATGAGGAGACTGGGACTGGGAGAGCCCGCGGGACCAGCGGACGTTGGCTGGCACCCAAGGGCAGGCCTGAGACCAGACCCCAGATTCGTGGGTGCCCCCAGCCCAGCTCCCACTCTAATTCTGAGCTCCCCAGAGTCGGTCAAGTTGTCTTTTAACATCTTTGTTGCAGTGAAGCTTTGCAGACGGAGCGCTCTGGTCGATTTCTTCCACCACATTCTGCGTGCCAGACACTGTATTAATTATGGACAAGCGAGGTGGGTGTGGTCCTCTGTCCTTGTGAGAGGCAGCACTCCTCAGAGCATTAGCTGGAGCATTAAGAACAGGGCAGCAAGCGGAGGGGAAGAAGCATAGATGCTAACCCACCTATGGACCGTCCTGGGAGCGGGCACTCCTGGGGGGGGCCTGGCCCCAGGCAAGGCGTGGGGGAAGGAGGCTTGGCTGGAGGGCCCAGCACTTTCAACGGGAGGTGGAGAGCTGGGGGGAGATTCACCCAGGGGAGGCAGGCCATGGACCCTGCAGGGCCCCGTTGACCATAGCGAAGAGCACTGGGCAGCGACGGCAGGTTTCAGCAGGGAAGGGATGGGATTAGCTGCACCAACTCCTCACTGACCTGTCTCGGCCAGATCGTCTCATTAGAGCAAAATCCCTTTCCTGCTCTTTCCTTCAGACTGGAGAAGGAAGGCTGAAAGATGTGAAAACAAAATCAGGGAAATCCTGATTGGAGGAGGTTTAGATCGAGGTTTATGGTTCTTGGGAAGCATGGCGGTCACTCGGTGTGTCCCGGCCACAGAGGAGAGCAGCTGGTAGTGATTTTTTCTGGATCTCTCACCCGGCTGTCAGCCTAGGGGGCCTTTGGGAAGGTTCCAGTCGTGTGTATTAGGGCCACTGGGCTGACCCCTGGATGGCCAGTCGGAGAGCAACCAAACATCTCCACAGAAGCCGCCAACCACTCTATCACTGCCGCTCGGAAAACCTGCTCATCATCAGGCCCACATTTATAGCAAACAATGGTAATATTTACCAAGTATCTCTGGAAAAATGAGTGCAAAGCGCAGGAAATGCAGTGCAAATTGCTAGAACGCAGTACATTAGCAACACAGGCCATTTAATGAGTTTGGGAAGAAAGGTATAAATTTCAGGAAAATGTCAATTGCAGTAATGTAAACAAGAGACTTCTTAACATCGCCTTCTCCACGAGACTTGATTTCAGTCACCAGTTATAACTAATGCTGTGATTCTTGAGAGAGATTTGATTCTAAACAGCAAGGAGGGGAGAATCAGGGGAAAGGGGAGAAGAAAGGGGTGGGTTTGCATGTGCATCGTAAATTGGCAGATAGCCTTGGGGGCATGACTACTGCTCCACTGGAGGAAAACTAAGCCTTCCACTGGGGCTTCCGTGAAAAGTCTTTTGCAGCAAAAGCTGGATCCGGGGGGCAGGGTGGGGAGAAGGGTGCCCGCACATCACTGGAGAGTTGGGAGCTGTCCTGGCTACCCATGGGCGTCTATCCTGTCAAAGTCAGGGAAACTCAACGTCAAGGTCACCCAGTGCATGCCCTCCCCGCACAGACACGTTCCCCTCATTGGTGGGACCGAGGCGCGCCCCGAGAAACAGGCACCCACATCCTCGGCCACCTAAACCCACCTCTTCACCAGTTCAAACCCCGGTCAGATGAAGTTAGGAAGCCGGTGGGCAACGATCTCGGATGCGCCCTCACCTTCCTGCTGGGTCCAAAGAGTGACCAGCTGTCTTCCTTTCTCCGCAGTCCCTGACAACATCGTCATGAAGGTGCTGAAGCAGCGCCTGGACCAGCAAGACTGCGTCGAGAGAGGGTGGGTGCTGCACGGCTTCCCGCGAGATCTGGACCAGGCGCACGTGATGGACAGCCTGGGCTACAAGCCCAACAGGTCAGCAGCCCGCTTCCCGCGCGCTCCCAGGCGGGTCTCTGCCGCCTCTCCAGGCCCCTGTGACAGCGGGCCGTTTGCCTGGAGCCTGCCCACGGTCCCGAGAGGGCGTGTACCTGGCCACCCCCATCCCACCACCCATCCTGTTTCCCCTGCGAGCCGGGTTCGCATCCCGGCTCTGCCGCTCACCTTACTGGACCTGCACGTCTGTCTGTGAGTGATGACAGGTATCAGCCTTGTCATGATGACAAGTATCAGACAAGTATCTCGCCTGCCCGGTGGGACTGTGGTGCAGAGCAATCCATGGTTTCCGCCTACTGTTTTCACAATTTCCCTTTTTCATTTGGATCTTTGATGCATCTGATATTTATTTATTTAAAATTTTTAACAAGTTATTTTCTTTATTTTTGGCCAGTATTGTTGCTGCAGGCAGGCTTTCTCCAGTTGTAGCAAGCAGGGGCTGCTCTCTTGTTGGGGAGCACAGGTTCCAGGGCACTCGGGCTCAGTAGTTGTGTCTTGGGCTCATTGCCCCGAGGCAGGTGGAATCTTCCTGGACCAGGGATGGAACCTCTGCATTGGCAGGCAGATTCCTAACCACTGGACCACTGGGGAAGTCCCTGACGTTTATTTTGATGTAGGTTTGCTGTACCAGCCTCCTTTTTCCCCAACCGTTAACCATTTCTTTCAAAACGATGTCAAATATTGTTGAATATTCTGTCCTTCCTCCACTAATTTGAACTTGAGAGCACCCCACAATGGTAGATGTTGTGGAAATAAACAAAGACCACCCACATGAAGAAAATAGAGGCTGTCAGAATTTGCTGTTTATATCAAGAGAGTCGGCCACCTGTTGGTCCGGGGGTATGTATTTATATGTGGTCTGACCACTGTCTGCTTGCAGATACCGTCTCTCAGTATACTTGGCTGTACTTCTAAACTTTCTGTTGTTCCCCACAAGTCTACTTCTGCAGCAAAAAGGCATGGCAACCCACTCCAGTGTTCTTGCCTGGAGAATACCATGGAGAGAGGAGCCTGGCGGGCTACAGTCCAGAGGGTCACAGATTCAGGCCAGAGGCAGACACGCCTGAAGCGGCTTAGCGTGGTGTAGAACCATGCCGTGCTAACCATACTTTAGCTTTGTCATATGTTTCAAAATAGCCAATTAAGGACAAGGCCCTTTTTACTCTTTTTTTAAAGACTATTTTCTTTATTTCTTTGGCTCTACCGAGTCTTAGTTACAGCACATGGAATCTTTAGCATGTGGGATGTAGTTCTCTGACCAGGGATCAAACCCAGTCCCCGGCATAGGGAGTCTTAACCTCCGGACCACCAGGGAAGTCCCTCATTGCTCTTCTTTAGTGTCCGCCTCACATATTTAGTATTCCAAATGAACACTGCTGTTTATGTTTTAACTGGAATCGCATTAGGTTTATGGCTTGGTCCGTTGCAGTCTGTGGCCCTGTTCTCTCCTTGCCCCTTCGTGAGACAATCAGCACTTTATTGGGGCCCTTGCTTTCCATTTTAAGTGTATTTCTGGGTATTGTATTACCTGTTGTTCTTGTTGATATTGTGATAATAAGATATTTGCATCCTTTTTATTTTCTAACTGGATTTCTCAGGTTTCTGAGAATGGTACCGATTTTTCTTACTTACTTTTATGTCCCAGCTTGTTTCCTGGAAACCTCTGACTGCTTCTGGTAGGTCTTCAGTTGATTCTGTTGGGCTTTTCAGGGTGGATGGTCATGTCATCACAAATATTTCTCTTTCTTGTCCTTTTCCTTTCCAGTACTTATATTTCTCACTTTACTCTTTTGCCTAACTGCACTGAATGTGCTTCCAGAACTGGCTCATGGGAGACAAGTGTGTTTTTTGCCCCTGACCTGGAGGATTGTCCTGAATTCTACCACAAAGGCACTACTGTCACTCAAGATATGTAGAGTTTTTGTAAAGTTAAAGAGGTGTAGTTCTGGGGCTTCCCTGGTGGTCCAGTGATTGAGAATCCTCACTTCTATCGCAGTGGGCATGGGTTTGATCCCTGGTCGGGGAACTAAGATCCCACATGCCTCACACAGTACAGCAAAAATAAATGCAGAATAAATACATTTTAAAAAGTATAGTGTTTAGAGTTTAAAATGTCCGAAGTTGATGTTAAATTTCATTCAAAGGGTTTTTTTGGCATCTTCTAAGACAGATGTTTTTCCTTCTCTTTTTGACATATGAATATGATAAAGCATTTTAGTAGGTTTTCTGATAGTAAGTCAGCCTTTCATCCCTAGAATGACTATCTCATGGTGTGTTATTCTTTCAATATAGGCTTGTGCAGACAGTTTTGATTCTCCATGACCTACAGACCCTCCTCCCCACCATGTCTTTCCTGTGAATATTAGGTCACGTGGCAGAAGGAACTTTGCCAGTGTAATTAAGGTAACTGAACAGTTGGCTTTAAAGTAGGTCGGTCATCCTGGTGACCTTGATTGTGCTACAGTTGGACCTGTACCAGACTTCTGACCTACAGAACTGTGGGATGATAGATTTGAACTTTCTAAAGAAACTATATCTGTGGTAATTAGTTATGGCAGCAGTGGGAAGCTAATATACTATTGTACGGTATTGGCTACGCTTTTATTTAGATTTTTTTATATTAATAAGTATATGTAATATGGGTCTGAATTTTTTCCATGTGTTTTGTCCTTTATCAGGCTTATGGGATCAATGATGTGGTCATTTCATAGGTTTTCGTTCTTTGCCTATGGCTGGAATGGTTTTTAAAACTTCAGCAGTAACCGTTCCTTAGAGCAGGCTTGTTAATAATTTGATTTTGCGTTTCCCGCAGCTTTTGCCTTACGTGTTTTAGTGTGGTGTTATTTAGTCCGTAAAGGCTCGTGTCAGCCGCGTGTTCACTGCGCAGCGTCACGCTGATGAAAGTGACTGGGACAGGGCCATGGCTCGTCTCCCCCAGCACGGACTGTCTGTTTTCTCCTGGGCAGCACCACATCGGCGTTCACTGGAGCACACTGCCGTCTGAAGTAAAAGAGCCCATTTTCCAGCCTCCTGTCCAGCTGTGTGGAACATTCAGACCCATATTACGTCTGCTAATATGTGTATCAGCATGGCTCCATTTCAGTACCTGTGCCTGAGCCTTTTAGGATTTGCCAATAGGGACTGAGTTTGTTCTCAGCTTTTCCTGCTGCGACTTGAGGTTTGCCTTTTTGAGGTCTCTGCAGTTTCTTGCCACTGATCCAGCTCTTCCAAGCCTCAAAAAAAAAAAAAAAAACTTAAAAAATTTAATTATTTTGGCCGTGCTTTGTAGCATGCAGGATCTTAGTTCCCCAACCAAGGACTGAACCTGGGTCCCCTGCAGTGGAAAAGCAGAATCTTAACCACTGAACTGCCAGGGAATTCCCCGCAAAATGCTTTAAGTTGCCTTCCCTCCCTCAATTCTCCCTGTCTTTGCTGCTTAGGGTTTCAGAATCCCTTTCCTGTCAGTTTTCTGTGGGGTTTTGAAGGAAATAGAGTGTGGTGCATGGTTCAACGTGCCATGTTTATCCACAACTCAACCCCTGTTTGCTTCATTGCATTTGCATGTCTCTTACCAGCAATTACTTTGCTTCCTTTATTTTAGGTTGTTGTGTGGGACAGAATGAAATTGGGTTTAATATGTTTTATTCAACCTGCTTTCTTTTTCCTTGAATGGCTGAATTTATCCCACTGTATTTTTGCTTTTTATCACTTTATTTTATGCTTCATCATGGTTTCCTTTGTTTTCCATCTGTTTTTAATGGTCTGTGTTTTCCTTTTATTTTATTATTGCTTTTGTTGGTTTCTCTCCTCTCTGCCCCTCCCCCCAGTTGGTTTAGAAGATAATCTGTTTCTAGCTCTACTAGTCTTGTCAAGACGGCTTGATTAAACTTGTATTTCTCAATTTGTCAGTTCTGAAATGAAACAGACTATTCTGACTCTGTCATACGAAAGATGAAGGAGAAAATGCTCCCATACATACCACTTCCTTATTCCCCTCCCCACCTCCGTTTTTGTTGGGGGGCCACGTGGGGCCTCGGGGGCCGCGGGGGCCGCGGGGGCTGCGGGGGCCACGGGGGCTGCGGGGACGGTTGGGAGGAACAGACACATGTGATCTCAGTCTGTTGTACACAGATTATTACTTTTAAGATCACTAAGCTTTTATTTCTAGAAATATAACAATTGCATCCTCTTTTTAGCTGTTCTTACTGTATTTGAGAAGTTTTCATTCTCTCTTCAACTGGATTCAAATTTCAATACCAGCTATTCACATTGTTCAGCCTCTCCATTTATCCCTTTTGATTCATTGTCCATTTGAATGGATTAAGTCTTTGAGTCACTTTCAACAAGGGTTTGTACATGCTTAAATTCTTGAACATTTGAGATGGTCTTTCTGTTTAACTTTGCTTGTAAACAGCTAACAAAGTAAAGAATTCTCCCATCACATTCCTTACCCCTCAGCATCCTGCATCATTTCTATACTGCGCTCTGACACCTGTGGGGTTGCAGGAACATCTAAGTTTTTTTACATTTAAGGTAATATTCTTATGTCTGGATGCTCTCTCTCTCTCAATTCATTTATATTCACCAGATCATGTGTCAGTTCTGGTTCTCTTTATTACTTTTCTCTGGAATATTATGAATCCTTTCCATTTCCAGTATTTCAGGAGAATTTCCTTCTAGTACATGTATTAATATTTTTGTGGTCCATTCATTTGGTGTGCTTAGTCACTTAGTCATGTCTGACTCTTTGCAACCCTGTGGACTGCAGCCCACCAGGCTCCCCTGTCCATGGGACTCTCCAGGCAAAAATACTGGGGTGGGTTGCCATGCCCTCCTCCAGGGGATCTTCCCCACCCAGGGATCGAACCCGAATCTCCTGTGGCTCCTGCATTGCAGGCAGATTTTTTACCACAGAGCCACAGGGGAAGCAAGACCGATTAAATGTATGCTGGACATTCATCATCTGTCTTCCGTAATTAGTA